TGTTCAGTAAATGAGCAAGTGTGCTGGATCGTGTATGATATATGTGTATAATATATAAATACATATTTTTGTTTGTTTTGTTTTACTGCTCCTCTGTTTGTTACTTTTTCTTAGCTGATCTGTGAACCAAATAGTGGAAAAATGCTTTTGAGTGAATTAAAAAATAAAGTATATAAATCATATTATATGATGTATATATTTTGCAACACACTAATTGGACCATTTAAAAAAAAAAAAAATTTTGGGTTGCTCTTCTAATTTGGTTCCTGAAGTAACATTTGGCTGAGCTGAAATTACATCAGATGTATTGAAAATATTTCTATCTTTGGAAGAAATGATTCAGAAAAACCCACATTTTCCTATTCAGTATTTTAAGTTATCCATGAAAAGACAACATACTTTAACTCAAAATATTTGGCACAACTCTTATTTAATGTGTTGTGGTTAAGTCCACCTCAATGATGGAAAGGTCACAGAAGGAATTTCTGAGCAGGTTTGGATTATTAGGTCAGGAATTGGGTCAAAAGACAGAGATAAAGTGTTATATAAAATAAACACATACATGTACAATGGAACTGGAATTACTATCTAGAACACTGGGCTAGATTTAAATGAGAGGACAAGCTTGGATTAGTACTCTGGGATAGAATAGAACACAGATCATAGGGTCTTCATTACATGAGTTTTGCTATGTTTTGGATCAAGAGCAATAAAAGTTATAGTTCGGTATGGAAACGAGGGAGTAGCTCCTTGTACATAGTCCCGAATCCAGGAGATGTTCAGTGGATATGTGGAAAGAAAAGAACCAATGAAAACAATATAGTGTAGTATCTTCTGACAGTTGGTGAAAAGAGTATAAAAACACACTTACAATTTTCAGGATCTATAGATCAGCTCCAAATGGTAGCACCTGGGCAGTAAAAACCCCGCCTATGGAGGTTGTGGTTCTGTAGGGTTTTGGCAGATGTTGTATTGGGATTTGATTGGTAGAAATTGTGTATATCTCCAAAATTAAAAGTGGTGGGCCACCGTTGTAGATTTGTATGGAAGACATGAAACAGTAAATAGTGCTCACTGGTATAAAATTAAAAATAAATTAAATAAGAGGTAGTCACAAAAGGGGAACAAAAACAAGTTTTTTTTGCTCTATCCCAATCAAATAAGTGGTATAATCTCCACCAAGAATATAGTTGGAGTTTTCCTCATGATAAAATCTTCTTTAAAAACTTCCAGGAGGGTCCATAGTGGTGTTAAAAGAGATTAAATATTTTATTGTAATTACAAATATTAAAATACATTGATGTGTTTTGCCAAGTTATAGGCTTTTTCAATGTGTTTTTTCCATACTTGGAAAACCTTTTACCAGATGGAAGAGACTCTGTTTTGGGTTGTTTTAGCTGCCTACTAATACTCTAATTAGCTCTACAAATCATATATTTGTTTTACAATAAAATGTATGTATGAATTTATGTTCTTTATGAATTTAAATATTTTCCAGTGATGCACAGTCAATTTTCATGTCCTTTCTTCATTATTATTGTAGGAGTGGAGCTCTTATAGAGTTTAAGTGTTAATTTATGCACATCAGCAAGAATATCAAGTATCCATGTATGTTTGCTCTGTGGCAAGAATCCACAAAGAGGCATTGTTATTCATTCTTTTAGAATTAAGGCAGTGGTTACTAATATATAAGATACACAATTCCAAAAACCACATAATTTAGTTACAATGTAAAACAAAAAAAAAAACATTATTGTATTATAAAATTAAAATGAATTAAAAAAATCTCACAAGTCCCAAATCTATGTTAACTTTGAGTCATTCAAGTCTACTTCATTCTTAAGGGCTCACTACTACAACCTTAAAACATTAAATATTACTTTTAAGGGAAATGGGAAGGAGAATAAATATCCTAATTTACAAGAACTTGGACAGCTGATCATGTTCACTTTTCATATGATAAAACTAGTAAATTCAGCAGCAAAATGTTTGTGTTTTATTTCTCTCTCTGCATCTATTTAATCTGGTGGTCTCTTTCAAATTCAGTTTAGTTTTTTAATTTCCTAATTAGACAAAATATAACAAGGGCTTAATTAGCAAAAGAAGAACCTCTTCTTTTGGAAAGAAAAATAATCTTAGAAATACAAAACCGAAGAGCAGGTGGCAGAGTGGAATTCCATCCTTTTGGACTGTTCAGGGAGAATTATGCAATTCCTAATTAAGTTGGAACAAGCTAGTCTTGACACTACTAATGGGGAGTTAGAGAAAGAATTCTAAAAGGTAAAGGAGTTTGACAAAGAACCACAGTTTACAGCAATGGAAACAAAATTACAGAAAAATTTGGACAACTTTAGAAGAAATGTTAAACATAAAAAACATTCTAAATTCCAAAGGGATTACGGGAATTTTCAGAAAGGAAATATATTTAAAAACAAATTAAGGTCACGTACTACCAGGTTAGGGGGTAGAGGGTTTTGCTCTTCTGAGGAAACTGAGTGGTCTGACACAGAGGCTAGACCCTCTAGAAAAACACTATCTACATTAACTAAACCCCATATGACAGCACCCATGAGAGGTGTATTTTAAAAATTCTGAAAAAACATATCCTTTTCTAACACTCTCTATGAGCCCGAAAGAAATCTTGACCCCCTCTTCACATCCTACTCCCTCGGTGTCATCCCAGTCCTCGCCTTATTCTTTTTTAGACCAGGACTGGCCATGACCCGAGAAAGAACAACTGGGGGTACAAGACTTACAAGAACAATTACAACTAGGAGAAGCTATGGAAAATAAGATAATCAACCTATTGAGTTTTACTTTAAAACTGAGACATCGACAACTTCTTAACAAAGATTTATTCTTTGTCCCAACACCTTCCACAGATATGTTCAATTGGGCCAAGGGCATGAATCTTTTCAAGAGAAAATTAGCTTTGCATGTCTTTCATGAAAAAAAAAAGTAAAATCACTTAGAGAAATTTCCAAAGGATTCAGAGTTATATCAAACTCTATCCGATTTACTTGAGGAACACGAATCACCCAATTCTTTCACTGATTTCAAACCCTTATGTTGGTTCGCATCCAGTTTGAACGAATCCTCCTGCAATGATTTCTTTGTACAGATGTGCACTAATGATTTGGAAGAGTCCACATGCAAGCACACACTTACAAATCTGAGGTTTTTTAATGAAAGACAGGCCCTCCTTGAATTACAACAATTATCTGATGAGGCCATCAAGTCGTCACATAAAGGGGTTAACATTGTACTTATGAATTGTAAACAATACATTGACATCTGTATTACCCAATTATCTGACAATTCCTCATACCAAATCTTGGACAAAAATACTACCATTGAGTTCTTAGCAGAACTCAAAAGGATTGCAGAAATGGCTCTTATTGATGAAATTATGACTCATAATGAATATAAGTACATTGTGCCAGCTAGGAAACAAACAGTGGCCACCTTCTATTGTCCCCCTAAGATACATAAAGACATCAAAAGACCTCCAGGAAGACCAATTGTGCCTGGCAACAACAGTTTAACTGAAGGGGCAAGTAGGTTCCTTGACAAACTATTAAAACCACTTGTGTGGAAATTGGACTTGTATCTTCAGGAAACTAAGCAAATGCTGCTAGCTCTAGAAAACCTATCTGCCCCCCTTATACACCATTAGCTAGCCTAGATATAGTGGCTGTTTGTAACAACATCCCTCACAGAAAAGGCCTATTGGGATGTGCATACTTCTTGGCAAAAACAGACAGTTTCAGTCCAATAGAACAGGATTTCATCTCTCCTAACATTTGTGCTAACCCACAATTATTTTACATTTAATGGCAGGTATTATCTTCAACTGACCGGAACGGCAATGGGGTCGCCTTGTGCACCTAGTTATGCTTACTTGTTCCTGGGCTGGTGGGAGGAGACTATGGTGCACATTGCATAAAATCACATCTATATCGACCATATTTTTAAATGGTTTAGGTATATAGATGATATTTTGCTTCTCTGGATTGGCCCCATGACACTGTTTGAGAAATTAATGGAAACACTCAACTAAAATGACATTAATTTAAAACTAACCCATAGATGCAAATGAGTTGGTCTTTTTAGATCTAAAAATAAATATCCTAAAGATATTGGGGAAATAACCACTAAACTCTTCAGAAAACCTACAACCACAAATAGTCTGTTGTACTGGCACAGTTATCATCTAAAGGCGAACATTCCATATAACCACTATTTGAGAGCAAAAAGAAACTGCTCAGACCCATTGGATCTTGAAAAAGAAGCTAAGGATCTTAGCTTTAGATTAAAAAATCTAGGCTACCCCAATAGGGTAATGAAAAAAAGCCTATCAATGGGTCAAGGAGGTAGATAGGTACGAGAGTCTACATAGATCACCGAGGAGCACTACCACATCCATTACGACCACAAGGTTTATTGGCACCTAACACAAACATTGGGGCAAAGCCCAGGAGGTTTTTTGTAGAAATTGGCCAGTACTTCAGTATGATCCCCACTTGAAAAACACAATTCTGCCCTATCCATCTATGTCCCACTGCAGGGCCAAAAACATTGGTGATTTTTTTAACACACAGTCATTTGCAACCAAAACAATCCACCTCATTGTGGGTTTAACCCACCAAAGGAATTTACAAATGTGGGCATTGCAGAGCATGTGCTTCCTACCAAAGCATGTGGTTTGCATGCAAATTTAAAAAGAAATTCATCAATGCCTTTATCAATTGTAGTTCCACAAATGTGATTTACCTTATCACTTGTATTTGTGGCCTACAATATATTGGCAATACTTACCAGCAATTATGCCGTAGGATTCTACAACATGTAAACTCGGTTGCAGGGGGCGTGGCCAGCAACCGCATGGAGTAGAAGCACGGAGAGAGAGCTCTGTGAACCACCGAGCCTGCAGCTACTGAACAGCGAGCCAATACTGTACAAAAACCCAAATTCTGAGGAAGCTCACCTCCACATACAAGATGGCACCTTCCAAGCGGCTTAAAATAACGGACCAGATCCGATCCAATAGGAAAGATCGCCCACGGCAAAAACAAGATGACACTTACTCCACAGACCCAAGCACTAATGCAGAGGATGAGACATTGCAGCTCTCACAGGGAGACTCCCCTGTCACCAACCAGAGCCTCCATACTATGCTGCTAGATCTTAAAGAATCCCTAAGGTCGGACTTTTGGCAAATCACTAAAGAAATAAGGAGGGATATTCAGGAGCTGGGAGGCCACACAAGCCGATTAGAGTCCAAGACCGAAGAGTTATGCTCAGCCCACAATGATGTTGTAGACCAACTGCAGAGGCTAGAAGAAGAGCAGTCTGCCCTGAAACTGAAAATGGCTGACATGCAATATAGAGCACGCAGGAACAATCTCAGATTTCAGTGAATAGCAGAGTCCATCTCTGCAGAGGACCTTCCACAGTACTTAAAGGGCCTGTGCACTGCCCTGTTACCACAACATGAGGCTGCATCCTGGACTTTCGACAAAGTACATAGACTCCCCAGGCCGGCCAGATTCACAGCAGATATGCCAAAAGATGTAATAGCATGTTTTCATTATTATAAATACAAAGAAGAAATATTAAACACAACAAGGAAAATGGCGCAGCTCCCAGAGCAGTACCATGGGATCAGCATATATGCCGACCTCTCTGAAACAACCATAGCACGAAGGAGAGAATTCATCAATGTAACTAAAACTCTGGGCAACAATCAAATACCAGTTAGATGGGGCTACCCAACAAAACTATTGATATGGCATAGAGGTAAAACGGAGGTGATCCTCGAACCGGAGGTTGGCATGGCGAAACTTAAGGAGTGGGGCCTCCATTACAACATGGGACAGAACTCCCCACAGAGATCACAGCCGAAGAAAATGAGAGCTGAATGGACAATGGTGGGGTCCCCGAAGCAATCATCCACTCACCAGGAGGGCTAAAGGACTAAAAATAAAACAACATGACCTTCCAGAGACGCTACAAACACTTAAGTATCATAAATTGTTGTTAATGTATCGTACTAATCCCATATGTTAAAAGACTATTATAAGATGAAGGGCTAAATGCAG